AGAATTCTCATTGATCGGGCCAATCACTGACAAAGATCAAGTTGGTAATGTGTCCATTACCGACCTTAATCTTGTCGGTGAGCTAAATAAAAGCTGCAACACCAGTGGCCAGCAGCTGGGTTCGCGGGGAGTTGGGGAATGGGAAATTACCAACAAGCATAGTGTCGAAAAATTGCATCAAAAAGCTGCACTCCCTGACGCAGGCAGCTAGCTGATTGACGGGGCTATGTTGGGAGTGGGAATTACCGAGAAGATGTACGTTGGAAAATTGATCCTCAATTACTGACGAGACTCTCGTTTCAAAAAGAAATTTACAGGCATGCTTCTCATCGGTGATTTGGCTTTCTATCCGTCCCCCACTCGTCGGAGTATTGGCTGCAATTACCGACAAGTAACAAATATGTATGATCTTTAATTACCGACAAGTATTACGTTTGTATAATAAATAATATATCTTATTGCTACTTCTACTGTTCTCAACTTGCAGACTTAATGCTTGTCGGTAAAATGATGCTTCACCAAGAAAAATTCTTACCTCGGTGATATGTGGTCCGTGAAATTGAGTTTTCTGGTAGTGCAAGTTTTCAGATTGTGGTAATTATTGGTTGCCAGGGATGAAGATGTCAGAACTTGCAACAGCACACCACTTCTTGTTGACCAAGAGAGGAAATAGCAGAACTCCATTTCTATTGAACTCACGCACACACACACTGTCTACTTCTTGAATTCTGCTTTTCATACTTACAAAAGTCAGTGATGTACACTTGTTGTGCATATTCTAGAGTATTCTCTTTGTTTACAATATTTTAATTTATTATACAAGCAAAAATCTAGACACACTTAATGTGGCTTTCTCTCCATCAAATATTCTTTTGTGGCTTCAATTTACTTTATAGTAAAATATTTGCTTCTAGAAGACTTTAACTTCATTACCTTTTAGATCTCAAGTCGATGATGAATATTTTAACACTCCCCCTTAGCACCAACTTTGCTTCTTGGCATCATCTCGAGCTGCTTGTGAAACTTTTCAAGCTTTCCAATGTTGAGCCCTTTTGTGAATATATCTGTGGCTTGAGTAGCTTGCATTTCTATTTCCTCTTGTAGTACCTTTTCTCTGATGAAATGGTAATGAACTTCAACATGTTTTGTGCTGGCATGAAACACTGGATTTTCTACTAGCCAAATTGCTCGCTGATTATCACAATATAATTTTACTAAATAATCACTTGGCTACTTCAAGTCTTCCATTAATTGCATAAGCCAAGTGCTTTCTTGGGCTGCCATAACTACTACTCTGTACTCCACCTCAGTGGTTGATAAAGAAATAGTAGGTTGTCTCTTGCTACACCATGAGACCGTCCAGATCCCAAACTAAACACATAACCAATAGTGGATCTCCTTGTATCATGACATCCAGCATAATCAGCATCACAATAGCCAACCACCTTACACTCTGTGCCACTCTTGTATAATATGCCATAATTTAGTGTTCCTTTAACATATTTGAGAATTTGGCATACTGCTTCCAAGTGTGGCTTTTTAGGATTTTGCATAAATCTGCTCAATGCTCCTATTGCAAATGATATATCTAGCCTTGATAAAGTTAGATAGATCAAGCTTCCAATGAGTTACTAGTACATGGTGGCACTTGCTAAGTCCTTCCCTTTACAAGATCAAAGTCTAGCATTCATCTCCACTAAAGTTGAGATTGGCTTGCACTCGAGCATCCCATATTTCTTTAATAAGTCTGATGCATACTTTTGCTGACACAAGAATATGCCTTCTTTTGTCTGATCCACTTCAAGTCCAAGGAAGTGCTTAATTCTCCCAACTCCTTCATTTGGAACCGTACTGACAAGTTCTCCTTTGTTTGAAGAATTTCTTCAATGTCATCTTTGGTGACAATTAAATCATTCACATAGACAAGCACAATTGCTATTTTGTTGCCTTGAGTTTTGACAAATAGGCTTGAGTCTGCAATTGTCATTGAATAGCCACTTTGAATAAGAAATTCTGCAATTTTGACATACCATGCTCTCAGTGCCTACTTGAGTCCATACAATGCCTTCTTTAATTTGCAAACATACTCTAGATGCCTTTTGTCTTCAAATCCACAAGGTTGCTCCATATAAATTTCTCTATCAATTTCTCCATGCAAAAATGCATTCTTCAAATCCATCTGCCACATCTTCATTGATTTGCTCGTAGCTAGAGCAAGCAGTACTCTAACAGTTGTAATCTTAGGTATCAGATTGTAAGTTTCATCATAGTCTATCCCATACTGTTGAGAGAACCCTCGAGCAACAAGACTGGCCTTATATCTCTCTATCTTCCCATCTGGCCAAGTCTTAACTCTGTAGACCCATTTGTAAGATACTGGCTTTACATCATTTGGCTTAGGTACTATTTCCCAAGTCTAATTTTGCCTTAAAGCCTTTATCTCCTCTTTTATTGCTTTTCTCCATTCAATACTCTGTGCAGCTTCCTCATAGTTTTTTGGTTTTGTTATCGAACTTGCTTCAATAAGAGGAATATTAGCATACTTAGGATTTGGCTTTCGTTCTCGAGTGGAGTGTCTTAGCTGCTGCTCATGCTGTTGTTTTGCTTTTTCCACTTCACCTTGTCTTGTTTCTTCAGTCATGGGCTCTCGTACCCCTGTTTGCCATGGACTCACTATTCTTTTAGGAGTTATCTCCTTTTCCTTCTCTACAACTTCTTGAGTATCCAACATCCTGAAAGTATCTTTTCCAAGCTTTTCCTATACCTTTCTTCCAACTCATTGGAATCTGGCAACACTACCTGTTGTGGAGACCACCAAGAAGATGCTTCATCAAACACAACATTTCTAGAAACACAACAATGCCCAGTATTTGGGTCACAGCACCTCCATCCTTTCCTTTGATCATCATAGCCAAGAAAAATGCATCTGACTGCTTTCTTATCAAACTTGGTCCTTTGAGCTTCTAGAACAAATACATAATACACCGAGCCAAAGACTCAAAAATGGCTCACCACTGGCTTAATGTTCCACAGCTTCTCAAAAGGTGATATGAATCCCAAAGTAGCTTGAGGAAGCCTGTTAATCACATGGGTTGCAGTCTTCATGCATCATGCCCAAAATCTAGGTGGCACATTTTTAGCATGCAGCATGCTTCGACATGTTTCTGCAAGGTATCTATTCTTCCATTCAACTACTCAATTTTGTTGAGGAGTATATGGACAACTTGGCTATCACCGAATACGATTATCTTGTAGATAATCTGAAAATTCCTTTGATGTATACTCTCCCCCATTGTCTGTTCAAAGGTATTGAATTTTCTTGCTAATTGTCTGCTTAACTTCCTTTTTGAACCTTTTAAACATTTCTAAACTTTCTAATTTTTCCTTCATAAAGTACACCCATACATACCTCGAGTAGTCATCAGTAAATGTCACCATGTATTGTGCCCCACCAATTGATGATTGTTTGACTTTACCAAAGACATCCGAGTGTACTAGTTGCAGTGGTTCCTTGGCCTTGAACTTGGAATCCTGATATGGAAGTTGATGTGCTTTCCCATATTGACAACGAGCACAAACAGCATCTTTGTGCACCTCTAGCTTGGGTAGACCTTTCACCATAGATTTATTCATCATCACCTGTAGTCTAAGATAGGTAACATGCCCAAGATGTGCATGCCACAAATCAGTAGTATCATTCTTGCTAGTCCTTTCCACATATGCTGTTTCAGTAGACGTCACATAAATAGAATTCTTCTTTTCTCATTTCATGATCGGTGTGCTTTCAGTCTTTAATTGTTGATACACCTTCACATCCTTCAGTCTAAACACCACATAGTTTTTGGGAGCTGTAAGTTGTGCCACAGACAACAAATTCTTTTTCATCCTAGATACATGGAGAACATTTTTCACCTTTACTTGTTGAGAGCTGGTGCGTGGTGTTATCACTACATCTCCAATTTGCTTGATTGGAAGCTGAGTATCATCTGCTGTGACTACCACTCTGTTTCCTTTGTATTCTGACAAGTTCAATAGCTTTTCCTCATCTCTTGTAATGTGACTAGCAGCTCCAGAGTCAATTATCCAATTTTTGCTGTAGTCAACTCTACTTTGGTTGGAAGCTAACAAAGCCACTTGGTTAGCCTCAACTTCGGTATCTATCTCCAATGTTGCACAAGAAGCGTGCATGTCCCATTCTTTGTCACTATGATTTCCTTCCTCTTTTGAGGTAGCAACATTTCCCTGCACTGAGCCCTTTTTGTATCTGTAGTCTCTTGCAAAGTGACCTCTTTTTCCACAATTAAAACACAGATCATTACATCTCCTATAACTATTGGAGTGGCTACTCTTTACCTCTTGATCTTCTTGAGCTCCCCCTAAATGGTAGCTCCTATTTTGTTGCCTTCAGGATTTCTCATCCTTTGGCAGATCTAACTTGATGCTCTGGGATCTGCCTTTGCCTTTACTTCCTCCTCTAGTGTTGTAGAGGCCTTCTCTGGTACTGTACTTGCCTCTTCCTCGGCCTCGTCCACTAAAGAGTGCTTCTTCCTCTGTTTTCTGTGCGCCTTCAATTGCTTGCTTTCCCTGTGCTTCTTGATCTATCAACAGATTTTCTAATTCATCCACAGTTGGCTGAGTTTGCCAACCTTGTACAGCTGTGATAAAGGCCTCAAACTTTGGCCTTATTCCATGAATAATTATTCTTCTCATTCTTTCATCTAAAATTTTGGATTCTTCCATCCAATTCTGAAATTTCTCGGCATAATAATTTGATTTTTGTGAAATATTTCCTGATAGGCATATTTTCTTGCTTTGAGGAAAGCAACTCATTTTCCAGCAATTGAAGCTGAGTATAATTCTTCCTTCTAAAGTGAGCAGCTAAAATATCCCAAGCATTTTTTGGTGAGGTAGCACACCTGATGTGCTCCAACATTTCTTCCTCAATAGAAGTTTTTTATGGCAAACATGGCCTTGGCAACTCAAACTTTCCATTTCTTGTACACAGCAGTATTAATCTCCGGTGGTGGTGTAACCTCGTCCCCTTTCACAATCTCTAGCAAGTCTTGGCTCTCCAGGTAAGATTCAATGCATGTTTGCCACGTGCTGTAATTTTTGTCATTCAACTTCTTGATGGTGTTTAGCCAGCTTTGATCACCCATTATAACTTAGTGTGGTCCCTGCCAATATTGACTTGGTCCCTGACCAACAGAGCATGAACTTGACAGTCCCGGACTGTACACAAGCAGAATTTCTCCAAAGAAAGAGATCCCTAACCTCCTTGCTTTGTGATGAATCTTTCACTAAGTGGTCCCTGATCGTTGCAACAACAACGCTTGGAAAGCCCTCACCAAGTGAAGAATCACAGTCCCTGACCGTGTGAAGAGACTACTACAGTAGAAAGCTCTGATACCATATTTGTTGACCAAGAAAGGAAATAGCAGAACTCTTTTTCCATTGAACTCATGCACACACACTGTTTACTTCTTCAATTCTGCTTTCCATACTTACAAAAGTCAGTGATGTACACCTGTTGTGCATATTCTAGAGTATTCTTTTTGTTTACAATATTTTAATTTACTATACAAGCAAAAATCTAGACACACTTGACGTGGCTTTCTCTCTATCATATATTCTTGTGTGGCTCCAATTTACTTTGCAGTAAAATGATTGCTTCTAGAAGACTTTTACTTCATCACCTTTTAGATATCAAGTTGGTGATGAATATTTTAACACTTCTGTAGCTGTTTTTGTGCTTGGAATACCTCTTTTCTTTGCATGTAGTTACTTCGAAAGGCAGTATGGGCAATTATGTCAGCGGTGAGGCTTTGAAATTCTACGTTCATTTCTATCTTTTGGATCCATCCTCACTCATTGTAGGTAATTCTTTCCACTCTTCAAGCATAGAGATGGCACAAGCTGCCATTCTCTTTACCATAACCTTTAGCTTTTCAACGGAGAAGGCAGGGTTGAGGATTCTTCTATGCTTAACCCATTCAAATCCTTCAACATATACCAATCCTTTCCCCGTCATTGTTATTATTGCAGGCCTGGTTCGAGGTTTTACGTAGAAACCTAATTTGTTTGATGGTATTTGTTTGGCCAGCTCAGGGTCTGAAATGAGCATTTTTCTGTCCTCGAAATTTCATTTGTATATGGATTATAACTTCAATTGTAAACGCTACCGCTATTCCCATGAGTCAGTTGTTTTGTCTATTACTTAAAAAAGTGTCAATTGATGCATGAAGAATTCTGAAGTTTCCATTTGCTTCATGTAGGCAATAGATAAAAATGTGGAAAGCATCACGAAATCCATTTTTCTAAGAGTTCTACCGTTCCACAAGCATAAATCAGGTTAAAATTTTTAGAATTTTTTACTCTTTATTTTAAGTTAAAACCACAAATTCAAGGGTAGCTTCTCTCTATCTAGATTTATAATTTTGATAAAATATCAATTTTTTTTTTTTTATAAATATTTTATCAGAATGTGGTTGTAGTTATACAATTTATTATTATATTAAAAACGCAAAAAAAAAAAAAAAAAAAAAAGAAACAAAACTAAAACAAGCAACAGATATTTGAAGATATAAAGAGGCCCCTGAAATTGATACCGGGCTTGGACATTATAAGGGTACAAAATATCTGAAACAAAAATGACAAAGTTTCAATGAGTTTAATTAAAATCAGGCTACTGAGTCTTGATCAAATATAACATTTTATT